GAAAGAGCTAGGAAATCTCATTTTCCAAAAGGCGAGAGGCAACCTCAGAGAAGCCAAGTCCAAAACCCTTGTTTGCAAGAGAAGATGGAGGTATGTGGCCTGGCAGTGGAGCTTCACCGCCTCAGGTTCCAAAAAGCAGGAGAGGGAAGTTTAAATAAAAATCACACTGCAAGCCGGTTTTGTAGGAAGCTGCGGAGTACTGGCCTCAGGGAGCGCCTGAGCTGTGATGAGCCCTCCAGGTGCTTCTCTCCGTGGGCTCGAATGATACATGGGTCAAAAAGGTTACAGCAAAATCCAGTGTCTTAGGGAAACTCCCTCTTGGCTGGAGCACGAATGGCCCTGCTTTCCCACCCTGTATGCACATAAGCTCTCACCTCTGCAAAAACTCACCTCCTGCTGAGCAATCTGAAAGGAAACAGCCCTAAGGACGGCAGCACAACTACACCAACAAAGGTGTGGAGGGAGACAGGAAAAATAGGACAAATGAAGAGTGTGTTCACCAGAAACTGTTGCTATGACATAAGAAAAAATTGTGACCAAACATTTCATCATGAATAAAACAATTGAATGAAGCCAGTACTTATCTGAAGTATGTTCAGAGAGCAGACCTATAGGCCCTCAAGAAAGATATGGTAAGGCAAGAAGGTGAAACGTGATCTGGCAGAGCTTAGAAGAGAAAGAGACAAAAAAGAAAAAAAAAAGAAAAAAGAAAAAGAAAAAAGAACTATCCCAGAACTAATAGCAAGTTTGGAAGGCACACAGGGAGGCAGGAAGGCTTAGAGAAGAAACGAGAAGAAAAATGAAACGGCAATAAAGAAAAAGGAACAGGCAGAAAATGAATAGAATGAAATAAATGTGTGCAAAAGAGATTAAGCACATGTTTAATCAGAGGGTCCTGAAAAGAAAACTAGCATTAGAGAGGAAGGAAGGTGAGAGGTACATAAGCATTTCGATTTCTCTCATCTAATAACTTGCTGTTACAGTTGTAAGGGAAGTACTTAGAATGATAATATAAAGATCAAAAATTAGGAGTCAGAAGAGAGAGGGAAAGGGGTAAGGAAGAGGAGCTATGCTATTGTAGTGAATTCGTAGATATTATCAAAATTAATAGAGGGATGAAAGGTATCTAAAAGGCATTATTTAAACTTATAGTTAAAAACTTAAAACTAGAACAAATGTTCAAACCTTCCTAATTATCTGATGAAAAACGCATGAAACAAAGCAAATAGATACTGTAATGAAAGATTTTGAAAGAACAGTAAAAATAAGGATGACAAAATGAGGCAGCAGAACTAAGGCCAAACTTATCTATCATATTAGCCAATGTAATTGTAGTAAAGTCATCTAATAAAAGAAAAAGAATTTTAGAATTCATCACAAAGCGAAAAGCAACTTTATGTACATGCGGCATCTAAAGCAAACTGATACAGAAGATCGAAAACGAAGAGATGAAACAAATGTATATGTAGTGAGATGCAAACAAAAAGAAATCAAGAATCATAATCTCAATATCAGAAAAGGTTGAATTCCGAACAGAAAAGATTAAGTGAGATAAATAACGGCACATTCCGTTGCTACGTGGTACAATTCGCAGTGAAGGTATGAAAGCTCCGAATCTGTGCACCAAGCAAAACACCAGCATTCATAAAAGCAAGAATACAAGAGCTACAAGGTGATAGGGAATTACAGTAGAAACAGGTTTTAACTCACCTCTCTCAATTCACGATAGAATAGAAGGATGGAAATTAGGCAAAGCCAGAAGTGCCTAATTAAAATAATGAATAAGGTAGAGCTAACGGATATATATCAAACTGCAAGCTCTGAAGTCAGAGAATACACCTTCTATTTAAGTGCCCAAAGGACATTCATAAAATTGAACATTCACAAAAGCCTCAGTAAATAATATAGCAAAGATGATGGTGAAAATACATAATGGCTGGTAAAGCAAGGGCACCTTCCAGTTGGAAGGGACCCAGTTCTGTATGGACAGAGGTCCGCCAACTGGTGTACACCAGTGAATGTCAGCCCTACAGATGATATTCTCTGAGCACATTACAATAAAGTAGAAATCCATAAAAAAAACCCCCAAAACAAAGAGCCACGATAATAATGAAGCTCTTAAACAACTCAGGTCAACAAAGACATCCAAACCAAACTGAAGAATATCTAGAATATAGCTATGAAAGACACCCTATAAGGACCGATGGAATAGAGCAGAAGGGCTAAGAGGAAGAGCTGAGCCATAAATAAATATATTCATGTATTCTTTCAGCGTTCATATTGCCTTTTTTCTCTCTGTAATCCTCTCATGCTATACATTTCTCCTCAGTCCAGCTACCTCAGAGTGTCCTGAAGGAATGGATTTCTGTAGAACATTCCAGAGCTCCACGTAGCACAGAATTGTCTCTGGGATTCAGTCAGGATTCTCCAGAGAACAGAACCAGTAGGATATACATCTATCTGTCTGTCTGTCTGTCTGTCTATCTATCTATCTATCTATCTATCTATCTATCTATCTATCTATCTATCATCTATCTATTTAGATGTATATATATGTATATGGAAAGAGATTTATGATAAGGAATTGGCTTATGCAATAATGGAGGTTGAGAAGTGCATTTGGTAAGCTGGAGACTCAGAAAGAGTGATGTAAATCTCAACCTGATTCTGACTCTGAAGGCAGGAGAAGATTGATGTCCCAGCTCCAAGACAGAGAACAGATTCTCCCTTACTCAGCCTTTTCGTTCCATCCTGGCCTTCGTGGGTTGGATGAGGCCCGCCCACACTGGGGAGGGCCATCTGCTTTACTCAGTCTATGGAGTCACATGTGAATTCCATCCAGAAACACCTTCACAGACACACGCAGAATAATGTTTAATCAAATATCTGGACACCCTGGGCCCAGTCAAGTAGACACATACAATTAACAATCACAGCTACTGAGAGACGTATAATCCCGGAACAAATGGGAAAAAAAAAAAATGAAAAAAATGATTTTAGTTGGAAGACTCAACATTAAAAGATGTCAATTCTCCCTAAGTTTATTTATAAGATTAATACGATCCCAATAAAAATACCGACAGGATTTTTTTTTTGGAATTTGATAAGCCAATTCTAAATTTCATATGGTAAAACGCACAAGTAAGAATAGCCAAGAATATTTTGAAAAAGAAGCCCTACCAGGTACTAAGATATAGGAACGGGCTCAGAGCCACCTTGCCAGCTGCTTTTCACCCTCTCTTGCCCCTCAGCCTCACAGCCTTCTCAGGTCCTTGTTCATACAAGGGATGCTCCTGCCACAGGGCCCTTGCTTGGGCTTTTTGCTCTTTGAATAGTGTGTTTTGCTCCTGTTTCAAGACCTCTTGCCTTTTTAATTTCTATCTCCTCATCACTTCTTTGGGGAAAGCTTTCCTCCTCGCTTCCCCGATCTTAAATCACTTTCCTTTGTTACCTACTTCTTTCTTTCCTTCCTTGCATTTATTTCAGTTTGCAATTATGTGATCATTAGTGTGGTGGTTTGATGAATGTCTTTTTTTTTTTTTATTATACCGTAAGCTCAGTGCCTGACTCAGAGTAGGCTTTCAGTAAATATTTGTTGATAATCTCCAGTCTGCTGGACTTTGCGGGGTGATTAAACCTAGTGATGGTCTTTTTATTTTTTTTTCTTTTTCTTTTCCTTTTTGTGACAATGGTCTTCTAATTCAATAATCAGAAGTCTTCCTAATGTAGGCCCTACTCCAGTGTCAGAGGCAATGATGTCTGAATGTGTCGTTTCTTTCCTCTATGAACATTTGAAGATGTTGATGCCTCTGGTAGTGTTCTGCATTGGATTGTAACCTCCTAAAATAAAGGGCTGTATCTGAACTGCCTTGTGTGGCTCTTAATATTATGTCCGATGGACACATGTATTTTCATAAGAGGGAGATGTAAAATTATAGTATGACTGTATCGTTGCCTAAAAAATGTTAGTTTTTGGAAGAAGTAATCATAGCTATTGAAGAATTTGTTTTTCTAATGAATTTTATAAAAGGCTGTGCCAAACATACTCTAGTTCCAACCTCTGATAAATGACCTAGGTCCTCACATGGCAGATTTTAGAAAATATTGCTGTGGTAGTTAGGGTGGAGAAGTTCTTTCTGAAGACTAAGCGAGGCCGAACAGGATGTGGTTCTCTTATTAGGCGCAGTTAAAGGTCTTATGCTTTCTCCGCAGGAGTACATACTTACCATCTTATTGAATGTGTTGTGATTGGCAAACACTGGCTGTTACTAAGTGCACCGAAGGTTTTGTTTGGCATTTTGTGGATTGAAACACACCAGTCATGACAACGCGTGTTGTAAAGTTAAGGGCTTTAGAATGACTTTTGCACTCATAGGTATTTCCAAACAGTAGTCTTTGGCAGTTGAGCAGCTGGGCAGTCATAAACAGGTTTTACTGGTATGTCCCCTGAGGCCACTTAGATAATTCCAGGAAACCCTCCTGTATGTGACCTCTTTCATATTCCTTCAAAACTGAATGGCTTTCTTATATGTATTTCGCAAAGACCACAGGCCCTGGGAACTCCACACAGGTAGGTACAGGTATCTGTTTAAGCTCAGGAATAATTCTTGAAGGAAGCAAGCCATTATGGGACAGAAGAGAACCAGAGATTGCAGATGGAGATCCGCAGGCCAAACCCACCAAATCTGCTCTGCAGATGTGTTTATTTGGGTCATACGGTGTTTCTTTTTTAAACATTGAAATTAGTTGCCAACCTGCAAAAACTGGGAATTTTTATTTCAAAAAAATCTGGGAAAAAAAAAAAAGTCCGGATATATGACTTGTCTTAAAAAAATCAGAATAGTTTGTCTATGCTGGGACCCATATTTCTGCATCGGCAGCCATCAGTGAAGTTGAGGGCTGTTCCCTTTTAGATGGGGGCAAGGACTCCTCGGGTACCACGACACTATCTCTGGTCTTAGGCATTCGTTTGGGTCACCTTCGTGACCTCGAGATAGGCTATGAGACTGAGGATAAATGGCACAGTGAATAATTATGAAAGACACAGCCTTTTACATTTAACTCAGACGATCTCTTTGATAAGCAAACGAAATGAAGCTGATCTTTGTAGTCTGGAAACAGAAGAACGAAAACTGCCTACCGACTACTCTTTGTGGGCTGTAGGTTCTGGTCAGAGGTCAAATAGCATTCGAGTCTGGCGGAAGGGATGTCTCTAAACTGACAAAGGCAAATTCTTAAATGCCATTCCGGAGGAGTACATTATTCATTCCTGGGCCGCCTCCTGCCTCCCTTAGAATTTTGAGAACGAGAACGAAATGATCTGAACAAAACACTTCTCTGGGCAGCGTTTTCGACACATTTGGACTACAGAGGACGCTTCTGTGTTTAATCTTGCTCTGCACAGCTGCACAGAAAAGATTGTTTTCACTCTTCTTTATATTTTGTCTTTTGAGGAACCCTATCAGGAAATTTACGATCATCTTTTGGAAGCCCCAGTCACTCGGGAGCAATTAAACCACTATCGGAATGTGGCTGAAAACGCCCGAAGTGAACTTGCAGCAACTCTGGTCAAATTTGAATGTGCTCAGTCTGAGGTAAGATTTTGTATCTTCATAACTCAGAAATGAAAGACCTTTTAGCTTCTTGTAGAGTAAAGAAGAACACAAAGGTGATTACAAATAGGACGGGAGGACATAGGTTTAAACCTTTTGGCAAAGTTTATACTGATTCTCTTATTGTGTGCCTACCTCTTAGTTGTAGAGAATGCCTGAAAGTTTATGCATTTACCACGCTGCAGAGTAAGGTGACGTGGGCTGGATTCTAGATCTCAGAGAAGCTCCACAGTCTGGAGAGAGCTGGGGGCACCTGAGGACTTTGGGGTGAAGCTGCGTGGGCTTTTGAGAACTTTTAGCAACTCTCGAAGTATGTTCCTTTAATTTGCATTGCTTGCAATCTGGAGCTCTTAGGATGGAATTCTAAATCCCTTTCTTGTGGTGGTTCTGATTGGCTGGGGGGAAATTCTGGGAAGATGATTGGATCAGGACTGGGTCAGGTCTATTGTGGAATTTCTGAAAGAGTCTCTCTAGACCCGTTCTGCTCATAGCATGGTGGCCCCAAGGAGTATAGCATCTGTGAGATAACCAGTGATCTCACTGGGCTGCCAAGACTCCACTGAAAGATGGATTGATAATGTACGAGCGTGTGTGTGTGTGTGTGTGTGTGTGTATGTGTAAGAGCGAGAATGAATGTATGATGCAAACTCAGAGTTCCCAAGAAGTACACATTCATCAAGTTTTCTTATAGCGTGGACCTGACATCTTAATAGGGCACATATATTGTTTAGCATTTTGATGCCACAGAATTAATACAAGTGAAAATGTTTCCTTTGTATAAATCCTATAATTATTTTCTTCTCCCATGTTTTTCCCAGAAATCTGAATATTTTCTTACCCACAATAAGGGTCCAGAAGACAAGTGGGAGAAATATAGCGATATATCAAATAGTCTGTATTTACTTTGGAAACAGTTGTGGCTATGAAATATCATAAAGTTTAGCTTGTAGGTTCCTTGTTTCATTTTAGGAGCAGTAGCAGCAATACGGATTTAGAAAATGGGTTACCATTGCAAAATATTTTATAGCCTTTTGCAAAATACACTGCAAACGTCTCTTGAGTGAGACTAAATTACCACAAGATGTTGCTCAATCGATTTTGAAAAAAAAAAAAACCAGAACATGAAGTCCATTATTTAGGCATAATTTCCCATCTGGTAATACAGATACAAATATGGCAAAAAGAAAGGAAAAGTGGATTAGGTCATGAATAAAAGAGTGAAATTTTAAATTACAGTGTTGGGTGTCTTAAACTTACACCATGGAAAGTCTTTTTTGTCTTTTCATTTCTTTTCCATGTTAGCTTCGAGACCTCCGATCCAAAATGCTTTCTAAAGAAGTTTCCTGTCAAGAATTGAAAGCTGAAATGGAGACTTGCAAAGAGGACAATGCCAGAAAATCATCTCTCCTCACCTCTCTGAGAGACAGAGTTCAGGAGCTGGAAGAAGAAGCAGCAGCAATATCCTCTTCTAAAATTAGAACAGAAATCGCAGCTCACACTGCAATCAAGGAGAACCAGGAGTTAAAGAAGAAAGTTGTAGAACTAGACGAGAAATTACAGTACGGAGATTTGATATGTTTCTTAGTTGAGTTAGTGTTGAAATCCTAGCTTCTGATAGCAGGATATGCCTTTGAATGTTCTGGCATTTTACATTATTTGGCCTTGAAACTCAATCTGAAAAATAAAAGAAATACTGGCCTTGAATATCTTTGGAGCCTTGAAAAAATTTCCCAAGTTCATTTCTAAATGTCACCAAGAGTCCTAACAAACAGTATTGTCCTAAGCATGTTTATATCCTTTTGATTAGGGCTGCAAATGCTTATCTGTACGATTTAGAAGATTTGCTCTAAGTAGAGGTTTAACCAGAGATGGAGTCGGTATAGGAGGGCACGGAAGGAGGCATTAATGCAGAAGCTAGTCATAGAGATACCCCGGAAGCCCAGACCACCCCAGACCACCCCGGACCGCCCCAGACCGCCCCAGACCTCCCCAGACCACCTCAAACACTCCTCATTTGGTTTTATTGACAGTTTATGCAGAGAACTCATGAAACCTAGGTTTTCTACACCTAGCTCTGGCAAAAGGTGATTATTGAGACAAAATTGAGAACTAGTTGTTCCTAAAATGTACTTTTAAAATTCTACGTGTAATAACTTAAATAACTTTACTAATAAAATACTTGGAACTTTACTTATTCCATCTCGGAAAAAAAAAATCCAACACTTCCAGCTCTGTGCTCCTTCTCCCCTTTCACTTACGGTAAAACTAAGACGTTTAAGACGTTTGTGCATACTCACTGCTCCAATTGATCTCCTCTCTCCTGCTCTCTTGGGTCTTCTCCACTGGACCCCCTCACTAAGGGGACCAGTGACCGCACATTGCAAATGAAATGATGGAGTCTGCATCTTACTTGACCTGTCTATCAGTATAGTAGTCACCACGGGTTTCTCCCCAAAATGCTTTCTTTTGGGTTTCAGGCTGCTGCACATACCTGCTCTCTACCTTACCTTCCCAGCTGCTCTGTCGTGGTCTCTTTTGCTTATTGCTCCTCATCTCCTTGACGTCCAAATATTGGAGTGCCCCAGGACTCAGTCCAGGAATTTCTTTTTCAGTTCTGTCTAAAGTCCCTCTCTTGGGAATCTCATCTTCATGACTTCGAGAAAGATCTAAATGCTAGTGACTCCTACATTTCTGGATCTAGCCTGGATCCCTTCCCGGAACGCAAGACCCCCATATCTTACTACCTACTGAGCATCTCTGTGTGTACGTCCAATAGGCATCTCAGGCTTCCCATGTCCAACACTGCGCTGCTGGTGTTTCCATGAAATCAACCTGCACGTTTCCTCATCTCATTAAATTCCATTCTTCTAGTCGATCAGGTCAAAAATCTTGGATTATCCTTGGTTCCCTTTCTTTTTCACACTCCATGTCTGAGCCTTCGATAAGCTCCATCATTTATTTCTACCTTCAAAATAAACCTACTTCCCATTGCCACTAACCTGGTTCAAGCAACCGTCTCTTCTTACCTGGATTGTTACAGTAGCCTCCTCGGTGGTTTTCCTGCCTCGGCTAG